CTCCCGGCCGGGGCTGCTCCTTGCCCCCCCCCCCCTTCTCAGTGCTGGCTTGGGTGATGCTCCCTCTTGTCCCTTGTCCCAGTGCATCACTCAGGGATCAGATGCTGGGGGGAGCAAACGCTGTGTGCTGGGGATGCTCTAAAATAGGAGCTGTACACAAAAGCACTGGCTTGTCTTAGACCTCCCTGCCTCTGGCACCCGCTGAGATGCAGAGACAAGAAAAGGTCCAGATGAGGCACGGGGCTGACGGTGTCCTGCCCGTTTGTTCCCCCAAGCTGAGCACAGGCTTCTTTGCAGGGTGAACTGCCTGAAATCAACCCCCTCTCGAGAAGGTTCTCAGCCAGAGCAGTGCCATGGAGTGTCCCAGTGACACCAGTGGTTCCCCATGGTTCTCTGTAACCCCCGCTGGGGAGAAGAGCCCTGTGATGCCAAAACCACCTCCAACTCAGGACGCTGTTCAGTCCCCCCAAGGTGGCCCCATCATCCAGCTCCTCTGGCCAGCACCTCCCACTCAGCCCACTCCCCACACCCTGCCCAGGACCCCCTGTAAAGGGGTTAAACCAGCCCAGCAGAGGGTTCCCGGGTCCTGCATTTCCAGATGATTTTCACCTTTTCAATCCCACTAGCTCAGGGTTACAGGTCTCCAAGGCAGGCACCTCCTCTAGGCTTTGTGCAAAGAGGCAGCAGAGAAGTGGGATATGTCCCCCAACGCCCATCTTCTAAGGAAAGGACACACATGCCTGCAGCATGTGCTCAGCCTCTATTACACCCTGGAGAAGCCACACCGGCCAGGGAATGCTCCGACTGCACAGCCAAGTGGGAGTCTCATGGTCACCTCTTGCCTCCCACCCGCCTGTGGGACCCCCTTGAGGTCCTCCCAAGCCTGCTCTTGGTGTCGGTGACTGAGTGACTGGGCAGCTGGGGAACACAGGGACAAAGCTGGAGCATGAGCCAGCAGCAAGCTGAGCCTTTGGGAAACGTGACTGGCAGCAGGCCAGGCCTTTGCTTTGGAGACTAATCCTCTGGCTTTAGAGCTTCCCAGTTCTCCTTGGGAGTGAAAAATAAGCGTGACTGCTCGGGGCCTCGTGGGTGCGTGGGCATGAGTGGGTGACAAGGACAGGTTCAGGGCTTGCTCGCTTGCTCCCTGCCTATTCTCCTGTTTCAGCCCAGCCAGGATGCCGTGAAGGAA